TCAACTCTTCACTGAGTGCTGCTAGTAGTAGGAGGAATCAGGATTCAGCTTGTAAACCCAAACCTGAAAAACCATGGTTAACCTCTCTAGCTGTTTCGGGATTTTTCAAATCTCACTCTCTTAAATAGTGGCATGGTTTGTGGGGGTGGGCGTGGGTCCGGTTCTGGGATGCTGGTGGATGACACAGGCTGTATTTCTAAACAGGATAGGATGGGAGAGAAAAACCAAGCCTCACATAGGCTGGTCAGTAGGTCTTAAAATGAGAAACTACCTTTCCAGGAAATCAACTACTTTTCAGTATTTAATTATTTGTTGGGGTGGGGGAGGGGCCGGTGAGAGGGCAGCAGTTTTATTGAGGGATAATTCACGTGCCACATAATCCACCCATCATATTCTCGTGTTTGTTGTTTTGTTCTCATAAACCATTTTCCGGGCCTTGTTCGATCCCTGCCATATCCGGTGGTACCTGGTCTGGTCTATTAATCCAGCACATTTGGTTCATCCCAAACTTCAATATGTCTGCTGAGGACAGTCCCTCAAAATGGGACTAGATGAGCATGAAAAGTTCAAAATACTATTTCCAAGCTCCTGTTAGAGAAGTCACCTAGAAAAGCTACCATACCAGCAGCATGGGGTTCAGCAAGCAAAGCCGTCCTCTTGGCAGCCCGCCTCGGGGAGGAGACAAACAGGAGAGTCTAGACTGGGGAGAGTGTTCCTTAGAAAGAGGTGGATGTGGGGTGCTCTGATGGGTTGGGGGTCAGCAGCGCAGTTTGTCAAGAATTCACCCAAGGCAGAACAAAAGAACCAGAAGTTTTCTGAATACATGGCCAGGGAGCAGCAGGCAGGACAGCAAAGAAGAGATTGTTGGCCATGAGGCAGTGCTGAGGGTCCATCCTGAGGGACTATGGGGACCTATGGAATTTTCCCTTTTTTGGTAAACTTAGGACTACCAGTCATAAGTGGCCCATCGGTTAGTTAGGGCCTATGGCTATTTTGAAGTCAGTCAGTCAGTGAGACTGTTTGCATTCAGCTCAGTGGTCACTGTGGTCTCTTTTGTCCTGCTCTGGTTTCTATTGCTCAAGCCTGTTGCCTAAAAGTGCCTTCTACAATGGGGAGGCAGGGAGCCAGAGCCTTTGCCTATCCTGACTCCGGGCTCACTGAGGTTGGCTAAGAGCCCCTTTCCCTCTTGCACCATTAGTAGGTCAGGTTCTAGCATTTTCTAGGCATTAAGCACACAGGTGTGCTTAGCCCTCCCAGAATTCCCCAGGAGGAAACCGTCGTTGAAGCTGTAACCATCCTGGAAAGTGACAGAGGCGGAGACTGTTGGGTTTCAGGACAGGACCCTCCATTCAGGGCTGAGACCCAAATTCTCCCCAGCTATCCATGAGAATATCCCTTCTTCATCCTTTTGTTTTGAAAATTAGAGGTAATATTTCTCTGAGCACAGTCTCTGTGCCCAAATTCAACGATTTAACCAGTTCTTTTTTCTACCATTGTCTTAGGTAGTTTCCGCAAGTGTGTTTGAGTGTGCACGGGTTCGCACAAACACATACGTGCACTGACTAAGGTTTTCTGCTTTGTAACCTCCAGACAACTCTTCCCTCTCCCTGACAAGAGCACTTTCCGGAGTCCTGGTTGCAGGGAAAGACAATCACAAAGAAGGGTGGTTAGTCAAGGAGGAGGCTTCTGACTAGTCAGATGACACCAAAAGTTCTCTCTGCTACAGAAGGTCAAACTTGCTTTCAACCAGAGCTTCCCTAACTTCTCTGAAGAAGTCCCTGTTTAAAAATGCAAATTCCAGAACCCACCCCCAATGCCTTGAAGCAAGATTTCCTGGAGCAATCAAGCAATCAGGAAAGATCAGGAAAGATTTTCAAGTGCCTTCACTTGACACTTATTGTAGGAAAGCTTACTTGCTCTATCTATTTATCTATCTATCATCTATCTATCTGTTTTTTAAGCTGGGCTTCATGCCCAGTGAGGAGCCCAACTCAGGGCTAACTCTAACTCACAACCCTGAAATCAAGACCTGAGCTCAGATCAAGAGTCAGACCGTTAACCAACAGGCTGAGGAACCCAAGTGCCCCTCTTTTTTTTTTTTTTTTTTTAAATGCAGATGCCTCCTCATAGAGATTACAGTTCAACAGAGTGGGCCTGGCAGGGTTAAGGTTAGACCGTTCTTGAACACAGCGGATCTGATGTGCCGTCTATTGAGAATCATTGCTTACCCTCAGGCATCACTGACACTATTTTCAGCAATTTGATCAGTAGCTCCTAAACAGCTAAGTTTCACCTGGGCTCTGTAATGATGATTTCAATCATGTTTTCTCTCCTAGATAAGATATGAGTTACTTTTCTTCATCACCACTATTTAAAAACAAACACAAACAAAAACTCTGCTTTATTAAACTCTACAGTGTTACCAGGGTGAGGCACTTACATACACACCCTCATTAGTCCTCTCAACAGCCCTTTGAGGTTTGTTCTATTGGTAGCCCCACTTTACAGATGCGCAAACTGAGATAGAAGTGAACCCACTTGCTTAAGACCACCCAGGTAATAAGTAGCAAAAAGCCTTTCTCCCTGGATCCCAGGCTAGCCACTAAGTGCTACAACCCTGTGCAGGGCCTGCCCAGACTGGCCCACAGTTCAGGGCTGTTCTGAACCAAGGAGCCTCCATATATCACGACCAGTTTCCGGAGGAGAGAATGGAACTCCAGACAAAGGCCCACATGCCTGCTTTTTATCAGTCCATCGACTGTGGGCTGCATTGGAAGTACCTTTAGGTCAATAATTTCCAGGTGATGGTGCAGCAGAGTAATCTGGGAAGAGGGTTAAAAAGGCAGATACCTAAGGGGCACGTGGGTGTCTCAGTCAGTTAAGCGTCTGCCTTTGGCTCAGGTCGTGATCCCTATCCTGTGTTGGGAATCCCTGCTCAGTGGGGAGCCTGCTTCTCCCTCTGCCTCTCCCCCTGCTCATGCTTTCTCTCTCTCTCAAATAAATAAATAAAATGTTTTAAAAATGCAGGTACTGAAGATCTTCAAGTCCTATCCTTAGAGATTCCAACACTTAATGTCTGGGATACAGCTCAGGAATCTGCATTTTTGTAACTATAGTCAGTGATTCTGATGAAAGTAATACTTCATCAATATGCTGAAAAAAGGGAGGAGGAAGAAGAGAAAGGAAAGAAGGAGGGAGAGAAGGAAGGGAGGAAGGGAGGAAGGAAGGAAGGAAAGTACCCTGAGTGAGCAATCCGCCCTTGACAGATGGGTAAGAAATGCCCGCCATGATGCGTAAGGAAGCCTCTATCCTTAACGAGGTCTTGTCTCTTTCTCCATACCTGGATAAATTTCTCCTCCTCCTTCAAGACCCAGCTCCCAGGTCACGCTTTCTCTGTGCTCTCTCCGTGGCTCCTTTCCAAGTTAAGGAGGCCTCCTTGGGAAGTTCATAGCCCTTAAATCTAGGCGCTGGTGCATTTTATTTATCACGTGGTTTTCACTGCCAAATGCTCGGTGGGTGACTTATTCATCTCGTGGGGTAAGCCACGACTGACTGCTGGGCTGCCGTGTGCAGGGCCACAGCTGGGCAGCCAGCGAGCTGGAAGATGCCCAGCTGTTGAATAGAATCTAGGTGGGCCTGAGCAGATGTTCAAACACTGACGAGAGCTGTTAATGCTGCAGAGGCGAGACCTCACATCCCCATGCCCCCCACACCCCACACAGGCAAAGACACCCAGCCCCTTGAGAACAGTGGTCCCGCCAGACCCTTTCCAGAACTGCCAGGGCGTCACCCAGGGGTAGGCACCAAACCAAGGATGCCGATGAGTTTCATGGGGCTTGCCAGCTCCAGTCACGGGTTTGCAGCTGGTCGGGATGGGGCAGGGTCTGCTTCCACCGGGTTCCATGGGAAAGAATGCTGAGAGTGATTACTGATGCCTGCCTCGGGCATAGGAGGCTCTTGCCTGCCCCTTGTTTGAGGCCGAATTGCTTTCCTGGGACTATGACAACAAATTACCACAAACTGGGTGGCTTACAACAAGAGTAATTTATTCTCTCACAGTTCTGGAAGCCAGAAATCTGAATTAGTCTTCCTGGGTCAAAATTGAGATGTCCATAGGGCCGCGCTCCTTCCAAATGCTCTTGGCCACAAGCTTGCAGCAGACCTCCGTTCTCTGCCTCCAGCTTCCCAGGGACCTCTTCGCGTGTGTTAGATCCCCCTCCCCTTTCTTTTATGAGGACACCAATTCATGGATTTAGCACTCACCCCGAATCCAGGATGATCTCATCTCACACTCAGTAAGGTCATTACATCAGCAAAGACCCCTTTTCCAAAGAAGGACACATTTACAGGTACCAGGGGTTAGGACTTGGACATATTTATGGGGGATGGGGGATGCAATTCAACCCACTACCTCAGCCTCCTGCTAAATAAATGTGGGTGATTAAGTGCCTCCTCCTACTTTGCCCCCCACCCCTCACCCCCTTTGTGCAAACCTTTTTAAACCTCATGCTAGGGAACGTGTCCTCTCACCAGAGACAGGCCTACCCTGGCGTCCGTTTTGGCTCATTGCAGACCTCACCTCCAGCCACTTGGATGGCAGGAGATGTGGAGGCCTGAGAGGCAGGTAAGCCTCCTGCTCCAGCAAGGATAATAAAAAGAGAACCAAACCCTTTGCAAAGGTTACCAGATCACTGGGTTGAGTGAGTCTTCCCCATGACGTGCCCAATACAGAATTCAGTACCTGAACAAGAGTCAAGGCCATGGTCAGGTTGCCCTCAGCCCACCTACTCGTGCAACCCCCTGTGGGTACCACATCCTACCCCAATATGAGCACCTTCTGCTCCAAGTTCACCCACAGCATGAAAAGCAGTTGTGATAAAGACCAGGCTGCAAAAGACCTGCTCCAGATCCCCCCTCTGCTACCTTCTGTGCTGTCTGACCTTGAGCAAGCTCATTGCTCTTCCCGGCACCTCCCCGTAAAATTGGACTGCTCCCCGTACCTACATCCTTTCTTCAGCTTGGCCCGGGAACGGGAAACAAATTCTTCCTTGCAGGTTTCTGCAGAGGGCTAACAGAGTCAATGCAGAGGTTCTGGGACCACAGCGGACATCCCCTAAGCTTCTTTTAATTGAGTGAAAGTAGCTGACGACACAGCAGGTGCGTCCTTCAGTGTTCACCAGGTTTAAACACACTCCTGTCTTCAACCAGCATCACCACACTGGTACGTCCTCTACCTCCAACTTCCTCCTGTGTCTCAGACTGCCTACCCTTATCTCAAAGTTGCCAGGGTCAAACTCCACACCGTCCACTTCCTACCTGCTCCTCCTCATAATGTCATCTGTGGGAGCGGCCACCCCCGTCCAAACATCTACAGGTACCACTCCTTTTCTCCAAACCAGTCACCAAATGCAAGAGGTGCTTCTTTCTTAATATCCTCCAGATCTCTCTTGGCCTCCCTCGTCTGCACACACTGAAAGCCACAGCATGTCCCATCTGAAATAATGCAACAGCTTCCCTTCTCAGTCTCTTCCTTTCCCAATTTGTGCTGACAAGGCTGCTGTTTCTCAGACAGATCCGATCACATACAAGACCGCACAGAGCCTTTGGGCCTGAAACCCACCTGCTTGGCGTGGCAACAAAGCCTGTGTGGACAGCCCCAGCTGCTTCCCCAGCCCAATGCCCCTGGTCCCCTGAGCCAGAGCCCCGTGGAGCTACCAGAAGTTCCCCAACCACCCCTGCCCCACCCGTTCTCATTTCTCCAAGCCTTTGCATAAACTGTTCCCTTCACCGGGAACATTCTTTTATTCATTCTTCACGTTATTAACCCTTATTCAGTCTTCGAGATCAGCCCCTTCTGAGGCCCCTTCAGCCTTCTCTCTCAGGTTCCCATACAGTCTTGTCCTATGTCTCTTGCAACATTTGTGGATTATATCATAAATACTTATTAAATCATACATAATAAATACATAAATACAGATTAAATCATAAATAATTATTTATCTATCTATGCTGCACGCCACACAGCCCTGCACCCTGCCCCAGACTGTGAGCTCCCTGATATTTGGGACTGTGTCTCTTCTCTGTATTTCGAGCACCTGGCACTGTACCTGCCAATAGCGCCTTAATAAGCATTTGTTGAAGTGTCGAATGCCAAAGACAGAACAGCGTGTTATTGAGAGAGATACCTAGTTGGTGATTTTTTTCTTCATGATTTCTGTTTGTTTGCTTTTGGCATTTCATATCGGAAGGAGGGATAACTATGCATGAAAAAAATTCCTTTGTTTAGTAAATCACACAAAAAATCCAGAAATTATGAAAACTCAGAAAGACAGCATGGCCATTTTGGGAAAGACAAAAACAAGGTTTGAGCTAAAACAATAACATCATGATTAAAATGCATGTATTCCAACGCCAAAACCAAGGTCATGACCCCAGGGTCATGACTTGAGCTGCAGGCAGACACTTAACCGACTGAGCCAACCAGGTGCCTTTATTTATTTATTTAGAGGGAGACATGAGCACGCGCACAAGCTCACATGGGTGGGGAGAGGGGCAGAGGGTGAGACAGTCTTAAGCAGACTCCACTAAGTGCCGAGCCCCATGCGGGGCTCCATTTCATGACCCCGAGATCATGACCTGAGCTGCAATCAAGAGTCAGAGCTTAACTGATGGAGCCACCCAGGTGCCCCATTGATAGGATCTAGATCACTATCAGTTCAAGATTAAATTTCCTGAGTCGGGCCCAAAGTGCGCACATCCTGTGTGGTTGATCAAAGAAGATTTGTTTTTGGCTAGCAGGTGACAAGGGTCACCTTCTATGCGAAGACTGATTAGCCTGTTAAAGAGATGAAGTCCGCCCCAGCTCCACCCATAGGTGGGCCACAATCTCTTCTTCCTAAACCCCAGTTTTTTTTTACCTAAACCCCACACTCAGTTATGCTTGCTACTCACTTGCCCCAAATCCACCCTGCACCTTCCCATGCTTCTGCCATCTTCTCTGTCTAGAATATCCTCCCCCTCTAATTTCCACCCAGCGTATCCTATCCATATGCCAAGGCCCACGCCTTTATCCCCCTATCGTCCCTTTCTTCCACATTACACTTTGGGCTGTCTACCTGGCTATAGACTGTATTTCCCAGCATCCTTTGTAACTAGATGTGACCAAATGAACAAGTTGTGGCCACCGGGATAAGTGAGCCCCTTCTGGGTCTGTCCTCCATCTTCTGTTTGCCCTTCCTACATTCATGTGGAACATGCTGGAACATTCATGTGGCAACAACCAAGCATTAACCATATGGTTGAAGAGGATACCCAACAGGACAATGGAGCAAAGCAATGGGGTAGAGCAGAACTGGGTCCCTGAATGACCTCGTGGAGCTGAGGTTGTCCCACCACAACATCTGCACTGTCGTAGGAGAGAGGAATAAAATTATATCTTAAGACTGTCCTTGTACGAGTGACAGTGTCTTGGAATCTCTGCACCATGAATTACTTTTGTACAGTCTTCCCTGTGGAAGCTTTCCTGAGAGCCCTGTCTGATGTCCTGGTGGGACTTTGGAGGCCACTCACGTTCCATGACAGGGACCTCTGTGCGTATTATAGTGCTGTGAATGGACTGTAAGACTCTTGAGGGCAAAGGCCACACCGATCTCATCTTTGATGTCCCCAGAGCAGCCATCATGGTGTCCCGTAGGCGGAAGTCATGTTTGTTGAAGCAAGCAAATACACAGAGCTTCCCACACAAATACTGTTTTTAGAAGAGAAGCAAAGTTAGCAGCAGCAAAGCTGATTCACAATGCACTTACACAGAAACCAGAAGGGATGGGGCTGATGAATAAGAGGCCTGGTGGGCCAAGCTGGGAATAGTAATTCTCCAAAAATAAACGTATTGTGGTGACAAAGCCTGAAGCAACCTCGCTGAAAAACACAGCTGGTTCCTAAAGTCTGGGAGCAGCCCCCTCCTCCCAGTGACACCCCCTGCACATCCCTCACAAGGCCAAGGTGGAGATGGCCACATGCCCTCAGGTGCTGGACCATCACTTATGCAGACTGGGTCACTTCTTCCCAGGCATTTGTCCCCAGAGCCAGGCCTGTATATAGAGTTTCTCAGGGCCCCTGGGAGAGGGGCACCGCCAGTGTTCCCCTAGGCTACTGAAGTATATAGGAAAGGAACGGTATTTCCCCAGCCAACAGGAAAATGTGCACTCATCAGTGTGGGAGGTCGGGACCAGACTGCTGGGTCTGAATCCCAGCTCAGCTGCTCAGCAGCTGTGCAACCTTAGACAAGTTGCTTAACCTCTCTGCACCTCTATTTTCTCACCTGTGAAGCAAAGATAATGATAGTAGCTTCTCATGAGATTGTGGTAGAATTAAGTGACTTTATACGTGAAGACACCTGTGATGACAAACTACCCATTTTCCAGATTAAAAATACTGAGGCTCGGGGCTCCTGGGTGGCTCAGCAGGTTAAGCCTCTGCCTTTGGCTCAAGTCGTGATCTCAGGGTCCTGGGATCGAGCCCTGTGTCAGGCTCTCTGCTCCACAGGAAGCCTGCTTTCCCCTCTCTCTCTGCTTGCCTCTCTGCCTACTTGAGATCTCTCTCTGTCAAATAAATAAAATCTTAAAAAAGTATATATTAAAGCTCCAAGGGATTATGGAACTTGCCAGAGGTCACCAAGGTCTGGTGTCCCAGCTCTAAGTCATGTGCTAATGGGAATCTCTGCAGCCTTCACCTAGGTGCTCTTCTGCTCTCCTGGGGGAGCAGCCCCAGGAGGCTAAGAGCTGAGGGGAGGCTGTATTTCCCTCTTCTTATTTGAGTGGCTTCTCAGGAGTCAAGGTGAGGAGTTAGACCTCTCTGGACATGCCTGCCTGCAGCCCACCTCGAAGCAGGCTCCTGACCTAATCTGGGCCCCAAGGAGCTGAGGCTTCTCTGCTGGGCTGGTCCAGACCAAAGGGTTGGGCGTTGGGGGATACCAGGAAGACACAAGGAAGTTTGGCTGTTTGGTGATAAAAACAGATGAAGATATGTGATGGGACAGAAAGTCACAGATGACATTGTGACCAAGTATTTGTAAAGGAAAGGATGAATGAGGAAGTATAAATGAGGAAAATAAAATGTGCTTGGGCCGAGTCAGGGCACAGGTGCTTCCTGTCACATTATGGCCCCTGAGCCCAAGTGACCCGAATAAAGCCAGGGTGGGTGGGAGTGTGTGCAGATGTGTGTCACAGCAGCAGTAGACAGAAAGAGATCCAGGAAGAGTCAGGAGACATACAGAGACAAAATGAGGGATGGAGAGAGAAAAGAGCAGCCAGGAGATGAGATGGGAAGGGAAGACAGAAATGGAGAGAGAAGAGGGAGCCACAGAGCACCACAGAAGCTGCCACTGTCTTCATCATGTCAGATTCTCAAAGTGCCCTCCCCCCTCAAAACATGAATGGAGTACTTACTTCTCTCCTCTGAGGGGGACATCCTCTTTTCAGGAAGTGCCAGAATGTTCTGGTTGCTGAGGGCTGACTGGCATCCCCAGCTCCCGTTCCTGGCTAACTTCCCTCAGTCTTTCTCTCCCTGATTTGACAGGACCACTCCCTCTTCCCTGCACTCTGTTTTATCCATAAAGTTGAAGGTGAGATGCCATGACCCCCATCAGCTGGCTCAATGAGTTAGGCAGGTACCGCTCTCTGGTTCAGTGTGCCCAGGGATGGCTTCACACACATCCCCTTTGCCACGGTGGAGTGTCACATGGAAGCCGAGGTCCAGAAACCCTCGGACCCAAGGTCAGATTTGCCCAGAGTCCCACCAGTGGTAGAAAGGCCGAAGGCCCCTCTGTCCTCCAGGGACATCCATCCCTTCCTTCGGGCCAAGCAGGCACAAAAGTGACACAAACCACAGCTCCCGTCAAGGCCTACTTCTGGCCCCGGAGAGAGCTGCTGGAAGCTCTCGTGGCTGGCAGCCCTCTGGATGGCTGTTTTCAGCCCCGGAGCTCCACTCCTGGGCTATACACCTCCCAGGCCCCCCGCGGTCTGGCAGCTCCACACCTCACCCCATGAACTTCCTCGCCGGTCTGGCAGGACTCTACTGCCCTGGTCCTGCCTCCCGGAGAAACCTGCACCCAGCATGTGCCCTTGGGACCGGCA